TAGATTGAGATAGGTGTTCTCTTGAATAATTCACAAACAATTTCCAATTCATTGAATGAGCATATCATATTTCTGTTAAATCAGTTGATAAATAAAAAATAACTCAGTGACATTAAAATTCTACGCATCATTACAATTTTGAATGATTTTGCACTCTTTGAGAATATCAGCTCATTTCTCAATAAGGATCGATCATGATGGTGCTATTTATTGTCTTCTGAAAATCAATTTTATTGACAATTTAAATAACAACAACAACAATAGCAATAATAATAGTTTAAGGTCACTGTTCTTTTTGACGCAGTCTTCTTCATCGATAAATACGGGATGTACTTTGTTTGTATAATATGAGACTTTCTATACACTGAACTGATGTATGAGTCTAGTTACTTTTAGAAGGAAAGATTCAGAGTCATGTATATTTTGAGATGATGTTAGTTTCATTCCCATGCATAACTTCATCTCTTCTCTTCAAACTAATTTGTTTATCCGAATAATGGTAGCTGTTTTCACAGTAGTTATTTATTCTATGAACTATGTTCTAGAACTCTGGCAGGTAAACCGTGGTATGATGTTAAGAGATCATTTACTATACGACAGCACTTGTGAGCAAGGAGATATGTATATAGGATTGAACATATCGTTGTGAGTGTTTAGTACTGGTCTGAGCATTGTATAGTATTTTGGTATGAGTAAGCATCTGTTCAAAAGCGGTAACTGAAAGAAGGGATTGTATGACTGTTCATAGTGTGGTAACTTTGTGAAGTCAAATGCTGAGAGACAAGTAGGTTCGATGCAGTCTGTGTTCCAGAACATTCCCTAGTGTTCTTTATATTAAAAAATTACCCAACTAGTTACTTGAGTTTGGTAAAGCACGAAGGGAGTTCATATTATCCTTCCAAGGGCAACATAATACTTGTTTACAGGAAACAGTATATATCTTAAAGCACACCCAGATATATAACATGACAGAATAAGGATGCTACATGTCGATGGATCAAGTCCCATTATAACGGAGTGTTACTGACTTGTGAATGCATCTAACTTGACTGGAATGCGCCTCGATAATAAGACAACATAACCAACTGATCAATTGAATTTATCTCACACACCAAAGTAGACATAAATATCAGACTGGGAAAAACGAAGACCAATAATAATAATAACAACCACAATAACGTTTATTAGACTAAATAAGTGGTATATCATATTTGGTAAACCTCAGGAATTTGATTGTCTGACCTCTGAAAATTAAGTCAATAATAAACGAATCGAAACTCTTCAATTATGTTATTTATTGTTATCTTTATTACAGCTTGATTCCACACCGTATTTCTGGTACATATATTAAATTTTCAGCATGTGATATCGGCAGCCCAAATTTTGCAGGTCGACCATTGACATCAGGTGTGCGTCGCCAGGGTATCGGACCCCGAACTATGTGCATGGTCGTCGAGAGTCCTAACCGCTGTGCCACCACACGCATAAATCATGATTTCATAGCTAACAAAGAAGACTATCTGTCCTGATAAGCCTTTAGGAATGTCAGACAAAATTCTAATTTCTGAAGTCAACTTCTGTTCATATTGAACCATGGTTTACCTGCCAGAGTTCTAGAACATAGTTCATAGAATAAATAACTACTATAAAAACAGCTACCATTATTCGGATAAACAAATTAGTTTGAAGAGAAGAGATGAAGTTATGCATGGGAATGAAACTAACATCATCTCAAAATATACATGACTCTGAATCTTTCCTTCTAAAAGTAACTAGACTCATACATCAGTTCAGTGTATAGAAAGTCTCATATTATACAAACAAAGTACATCCCGTATTTATCGATGAAGAAGACTGCGTCAAAAAGAACAGTGACCTTAAACTATTATTATTGCTATTGTTGTTGTCGTTATTTAAATTGTCAATAAAATTTATTTTCAGAAGACAATAAATAGCACCATCATGATCGATCCTTATTGAGAAATGAGCTGATATTCTCAAAGAGTGCAAAATCATTCAAAATTGTAATGATGCGTAGAATTTTAATGTCACTGAGTTTATTTAACAGAAATGTCATTTTCTCTTCTGCTTTGATATGAATAGATTAAAGATGAAGTAAATAGGGAAAATGGTCTGTGTCGAGCGTTAGTCATCGTTTTAACTAAGGATTCTTTAAAGTTACATACTGGAAAAAAACAGCTCTCTAATACATTCTGAAACTCAATTAAAATGCATCAATGCGAACTACTATTGTACATCTTAAAATAAACCTTACTTCCTCAAATAAGCTAATCAATAACAACATACCTACCACTCATGTATGGAGGCGAAATATAATTTACCGAGTAGAGGCTACATATACAGAGGTAAAGGGAATCGTAAATCGATTAAATTTAATTGATGCGACGCTGTAAAACGAAACTACACCAGTAATAATGTTTAGGTCATAAAATTCCTGGTCATCGCTGAATAGTAATGTGCTTGTCAGTACACTTGACAACCATGAGCCCGATTAATTGCGGTATCGTGATTTTGAAGGACTCAATAATCCTGAACATTATTCCAGAATTTCTTAGCTTTAAATGTGTAGAAAGTTGATGATATCTCGTGATGAAGGCTTTCTTAAACCTCTATTTCTAAAGCGAAAGATACTTGCACTTACAGTAACAATATACACTCCTTCATAGATTTGGTCAGTCACTTCCCACATTTTTTAAAGTATCATGAACAACTTTTATCATCCAACAGAAGCATTTAGGCTATTCATAATACCCTGGTGGATGGTGACTAACAGTGGAATCCAGGATAACACGCATTTCGTCCTAGTTGGGACTCGTCACTGGATGTATCTTCATTCCCCAGTCAGTGAGTGATGTTCCCACCGGGGCTCGAACCCAGTGCCCATAGTTTCAAACGCCAAAGCGTTATCCACTAGACCACTTGGGCCAAGAGAGCCACTGTCTCTTGTCCAACGGGTCATATTAATTTAATTTAATTTTAGATTTTCCCATCGATTGATCCGAACGAAGTGCTCGGTCTCAGGTTGATATGTCACTGAAAAATGCAGGTACATCTAGTGACGAGTCCCAACTAGGAGAAATGTGCATCCTGGATTCCACTGCTAATCACCATCCATCAATTAAATACTAGTTAAATGCCCAGACATCGTCGAAGGATCTGCACAAAGAGCCGACATGTCAACCTAGTCAGTAACTTGTGTCATGTGTTTAGTCCTTTGTTTGATGCCGACCAAATTCTATCAGTCATGCTGACAATGCGGCCACCATTTTAGGTGGCTCGCCATCCCGGTGCACTTTGAATTGTTGATATTCGATGGTTGAAGGACATGAGTTCCTTCAAAGGTTGTAGATACGCCTTGCTGACGAGTGTACACTAGCACGAAACCTAGGTCCAAGGCTTCTTGGCGATTGCCTTCAAATACCTATTATCAACGATATTATTTTAAACGATATATCACTGATTAATAACTTACTTGAGAATGTTATACAACGAGTGAGTACTTCACATCAGACAAAACGTACTAATTATTCTATAATATCCATTAACACATTTTTCAGGATAAAGATATTATTTTGAAGAGCTGGTTTGTAAGGATTAGATTTATTCCTACGAGTTTGACGACGGATTGATATCAGTTAGAGAACCACTGAAAACCAAGGAGTACTGGACAGTTGTTTCATCCTAGTTTTGGGAATAATTGGCAGTACGCACCCACTAGGGTTCGAACCCAGGACCTCGTATGCCGTTCAGCCACTGGAACCCGATTCACTGGCCAGCCCATGAATTCTAACTTCTACCAATTCGTGATTTAGCGCAACCACAAACCAATGTCATCGGCGGGAAATCCATCTTCACACTTGATTGAATGGACTTCACTGGTCACAATTTCTCACTAGAACTGCCGATGATTCCCAAAACTAGAATGAAACAGCTGTCCAGTACTCACTGGTTTTCAATGGTTCTCTAACTGATATCAATCCGTGGTCAAAGTCGTAAAAAGAAAAGATATTATTGTCATCATGCCTTGGTGTTGTAACCGATTGGTTTAATTAGTTAGCCCTCATAATATACAAAAATAACACAAGGTGAACTTTAAAGAAATATCAGAGTAAAAAAAAGATGAATAATAGTGATAAGAAAATTTATGTCTTGTACTCATTTTTACGGAACATTGTCTGCTGACACAAAAACAAAACATACAGTCTACAAATCAGTAATTATTAGATTCATTAGAACTTGTCTCAGATATTTAACTTTATTTACATAGATGGTAGATACATGTTATGAGGTAAGAGCTAGTGGAAACAGATTACAGTCCCAACTAATTCATCAACTGATAAAGTGGTAAATAACAGTGAATTTCAACCAAGAGACACTTCATTGACGATCAAGTCGGTATTCCAAAGATGCACAGATCAGCTGTAGTGATGTTTTCCAGCATTTTCAAGAATTCGAACAGTTTAACTAAGGGGAAATCGATTTTCCAAGTTAATACTAGCTGTAAATAACACTAGGAATTCTATAAAACAATGGTATTTCCCAAGTGAAAAAGTACTTTCGTTTTTGTAAATGGCCAAACCCACTTCAGAACTAGCGGTCTAAAATAATTTGACCATTTACTAGACGATAAACAATATTTTGAGGCTCACACTTCTCAACAAACTTAAAACAAAACAAGACTGTTGGAACAAGTTTGGGGAATCCAAATGTTAAAATTTGTCATTTTCTTCATTAACGATTGAACTTTCAATGCAAAAAAATATTAGACTGCCATCAGGAATCTGACGACTGCATGAAGAAACTCAAACCAACAATTATGCGGAGTAGGCTATTCCTTAACTTTGGAGTTAGATTTGATTTTACATTCTTACTAATGCACAGACGTTCCTAGAACGACAGTATAGTGCAGTCACTTGCTTAACTGCAGCATAGCTTACAGTATTCAATCCTATAACTTTACTTACATAACGAACAATTTAGGTTGTATCAAATACTTTTATTGACTTATTTGTAAAAATATATACAAACGGAACGAAAATTTGAGTTATTTACATTATACTACTTAATATTATCAAGTAGCGTTGAACAGTATCCTGAACAAATAGCGACCTTGCTTAACTATGACCTGCTAGCACATTATTGAAATGTATCACATTTGTTTTGGTATCTTGACGTCCAACTGAATTGCCACACACTTTGCAATTGACAATGTGATATTCCTTTGAAATATTTCGCCGCGATTCCAAGTCACCTTCAGTACTGGATTTACTCTTTCTTTGGGGTTTCAATATATTTCGAGAAATGACTTGTGTTTCATCCACAACACAATTAATAGGATATTCTGTATAGTACTGTGTTTTAAAATGCGGGTGTCTACAATTAAAAGAAACAGATATCATTTAGAACGAGCTGCAACTCTAAGTGTAAATAGATAACAATCCATAGAACTGAGATATATTTTAGATTACATAGTCTCTTTTCGTGAGCATATTTATTTAGGCCAGACCATCTCTAGTCACAATATAAGTGCTAGAATATTATGTTCCCTGAACAGCAGCACCTTCTGACTAACAGTTAAGGAAGTTTTTGAAAAATTACTGAAATGGCTTCCAGCGACGCGGATGCTGAAGTATAAAATTACACCTAGTTGTATAACGGGTATACATCTGGTATTATTTCGCTGCAAACTGAGAAGACCTATCTATTGAAAAATTAATTATACCACGGAGATTGTAGGACTCGAATATGAAAGCAATAACTATTATGCTAATATGACGAAAGTTTGAGGGAGACTAACTGCTACTTTTGCATGATTTCAATGGTCACAATTTGTCCCACCTGAAATAATGTTATGTTCACTTCGAATAGTAGTTAAAAATTAGCGAGATTTAGAAATACAGATAGTCTGACTCCAGTAGTTTTTGTCACTGAAGAAAATGCACGTCAAGTATAGAGTGTATGTCTCTAAACACCATCGTAATTATATCGTTTTATCCTATCATGATTCCAATGGTTTTCAGTCCTGATATAGTAAGACTTTATTTGTAGAGTCTAAACGGGCTATGACGACAGTTAGGGCTTTACCATTACTGTTAACTGGCCATCAGTGTCCAGAGGTTGAGACTAATTGGTTTGAGATAACATGCCTGAAACGACTTTGCTATAATTTCTCCTTAGATATTGGTACCTCATTAAGAATAATTGAATGGATTGGCCATACGCTGAGGAAACTATCAAGTGACATCACTATGCAAGCCCTCGAGTGGAACCCAACCGAAAGGGAAGCGGTGGGTTGTTCGTCAATGTAAGGGTGACTTGGAGGAGGTTATGTGAAGAGGAGATGAAAGCATGTGGGCAGACTTGGAGCGGGGTGAAAAAGTTGGCAGAAAACTGAACACAATAGAGACGCGTAGCTGAAGCCCTATGTTCCTCTAGGAATTAAAGAATATAATAATAATTTAGAATAATACAGCTACCCCTTAATATTACCCATTTATTCTATGACTGCACAGTAGGAATCAGTAAACAAACCAACAAATGAAAAAAGAAACATCGAAGAGAATTCAGTAGCAGACTGACAAGGAATTTTCTCAGGAGTGCATTGCATCACAAAAAGTCGGTACAATATATATTAACAGATAATATTGGCTGTGAATACAAATGTAACTGTCAGAACTGAAGAGCAACACTAGTGGCTGTGGGGTTTTCAGTAAACTGTATCAACCAACAGTATACATATGTAAAGAGGTATTAAATTCATTGAAAATTTAGAAGTTGCTAAGACTAAATATTTAGTAGCGTTCATTATCTAAATACGGGGTTTTATCTCAAATATTGTTTAAAAACTCGAATCATGAGATGTGTCATATCCCTACTATCTTTATTGACATTAGTTGCCAAAAATGCATTTGATTTAGACGAGGTGTTTGATATATGAAGGAAGTGAATATCACTTTTGTCTTGGTTATCTGCCATAAAAAAGGCATATTACAAATTATTATTTTTTGTCTCAGTACAATAGTTGGCTGGTGATAAATTTGGAAAAGGTTACAAGAATTACCTGTGACAATCCAAAGACAATACAGACATACATCCAGGACAGTTAAGGACAGCATCTGAATTTTTACACTGACCACCAGGAAGATTTTCCTGAACCCATTTTAAATTAGCTTCATCTTCTTCATAATCACATAAAGGATCTTTGTCTATGGGAACATTATCTTTAGTGGAATGAAATGACTGTTGAAAAGATATACCTTCATCGCGATCAGCATCAGTCTTTTGAAACCTTACTTTAAGATTTTTTTTCTGACTAACAGTTCTCGAATCTGCTTGTTTATAATGAGTTTGCCTGACTAATGCATCAAGTTCTCGGTCCATCAGCTCTTCGAATTCCCGGGCCTTGATCTTCGTATCTTCGGTTATACAGATGTAATCAACACCATTTGTGCCACTCAAAAGGAAAATGACATGAAATATTATTCGCTTCAAGAAATTACCTGGATGAACTGCTATCAGAATCACAGCCGTCATAATTTGTCGAAAACATTACACTGTAATAGAAGATAAGTGAAATAAACAGTTCAATCATACAATGTTTCAAACTTAAAATTCAAGGAACTCTTTTAATTACATAACATAAAAATATTATGTTATGTCAAACAAAATCATTCTATAATTGAACTCGACTCTAAAACAGCGTCTAAAATTTATCTTTATATCAGTTTTCACTACCAATTATCCGTTGAAATTAGTGCACATCACATTTTGCACTTGTAGTATATTTGCGCAAAAGTTTCGACCAATATTCAAACCTTTGGTTTGGCAAGACCCCGTTTAGATTCCTGTAATGCTGACAAACACATACAGAATTTAACTTATTATCAACATTAGTTTTCAAGATCTAAAGTTGCGAAATTTAACTTAGAATGGTAAATATGTTACAAATAACAGGAGAGTTTATGGAAAGTTCAAGGATGTCTTATCTGTACAGACAAGAAAACAAGGGCGAAATTAGGCGGAGAGAGGTCATTAGAGATGGAGAACGAGAGAGAGAGAAAGGGATATGATGACGACAAAAACCGTATAAATATTGCGTAAAAAGTGGATATAATGCGTCATCTAGGAAAAGTAGGGTGTGGGGGAATTCTTGAAAGTCTTCTTTATTTCCTCTTTTTCGGTCCATTGAACATCCACTTTGTGTCACCCTTTAAGATGCACTGTTCCACTTATTGGTCCGCCTCGGGTCGGTTGAAGCGGATATTAATGAAGAAAAAGGAACTACTGCAAAGAATCAAAATGTCTTCTATGTCAGGAGTCAATGAAAAATATCTCAAAAATATTCCGTTCCGCATGTTCATTAATTCTTTAACTATCACCTTAAATCACTGAGATGAGTTCCATTTTCGTATTACTTAGACGTCCCAACTATCGATCGACACTCCCAAGCTTACTACAATGCTGAATTAAATCTCACTAATTCTATTCTAACTCAAACATTCTTTAGTGAGTGAACGATGAATCTGTTCTGAAATGGATTCTTTAATGGCACAGACTAGAACTCATTGCTGGTTTTCAGCATGACTGGCACTAAATCATCACTCTTCTTTTTCTAAGCATTTTCAAGAGTAGATCAGAACCTACTGGGTTTGCTTATCAGCGTTTTTATAGCCCTCACAGGACATATTAAGCACGGAATAGCGTTACTTCAGAACGAAAAGACTTAATTCAACACCCAGATCTCATTTCAAGCACGACAAGCGTTATTTCAGAACATAGTGGGTAGATAAAATCTTGTTAGTCAAAACAAGTGATTCTTGCACTGAATAGCCTCGAAAAATGCTCTAAGCACATGGTCCTGAATAGCAGTAATAGAAAGATGAAAAACTCCATCGCAAATCTTCAAAAAATATCTGTGGTTATTCTCAATTGCTTAAGCATAGACATATATTGGTGTGATCTGAAACAGCCGTTTGTACTCGAAAACTCACTGCTCCAAAAAAGATATTTCTCTTGATAATTATAAATTTTTGATAATTTTATTAATTCCAAAACACAGCCCCAACACACAGTAAGCTCGAAAGAACGCTACCTTTACTGTAATGACGTGAAAACTAGCATGATATCACTAAATGAGTTTCTTATTTCTTCTTTTTCAGAAAGGAACGCTGGCAGGGCCGTGTTAGAGCAGGAAGAATATCGTGTGTCAAAACTTGTTGTAAATGACGACAATTAGCTTGTACCCGAGAATTCGAGCCTTGGGTGGTGGAAATAAAGATCTTTCTCTCGCATCTTCGTCTTCTTCCTTCGTTGGTTGTGCCTGTTGCTTTTGAGTGTTACAATTGATCCCACCCCCGACACCAATTGTAACACTCAAAAGCAACAGGCACAACCAACGAAGGAAGAAGACGAAGATGCGAGAGAAAGATCTTTATTTCCACCACCCAAGGCTCGAATTCTCGGGTACAAGCTAATTGTCGTCATTTACAACAAGTTTTGACACACGATCTTCTTCCTGCTCTAACACGGCCTTGCCAGCGTTCCTTCCTGAAAAAGAGGAAATAGGAAACTCATTTAGTGATATCATGCTAGTTTTATGTCATTACACCACATTAGTGTAACGTACCGGTCGAAAAATAAGTCCAAAACGTCCAGTATCCAATATCTTTTTACGAGCTAGTATGAACCAATTTGGTTTCTTTGTGCTCGTCTCTTGATTGTGAGGCATACTTTCCTGATCTTTGGTAAACTTCTGCGTCGCTCGCCCAGCCAATCAACTGTCGCAGCTTTGTTTGACTCCAAAAGGAGTAATGCTGGGATTAATTATATGTAGTTTGTAGTATGAGGTGTGTTAAGACTGTTACTACTGTGAATGGAGTTGACCCTTTCACCAGTTAGTCCTCCGGTATCATCGTCGAAGGGAAAAAGATAATAATAATAGATATAATTAGTGAAGTTATTCAGACTAACAGACAGAAAAATAAATAGGAAAACGTAACAACAGTGAGCTGATTGAATTTAAAGAATAGTATGAATAATATATATCGGTAATAATGATAACAATAATAAGTGTAGCTAAAGTTGTCAGGAGAGTAAAATGGGAGAGAATGTGAAGAAGCAAAACGACGAACTTAGTTGTCTCCCCCTGAATGGTGTATGAGATTTTCAGGGGATAGGCCATTTGGACGCAGTCCTTGTGTCGCTATATGACTGTCTAGCCTCCAATATTTTCTCGTTTCTGACCTCTTGCGCTCCAATTATCACACATGCCTTGGCCTACTAGGTGGAAAAGCACCTTAAGGTCATTTTTCAATATCAGTCAACCGTACTGAACTGCTGTTATTAAACTTTTAGACCATATATTGGTTTTTGCATCCACCCTGGAGTTATTTGTAACTTATCTTAACGTAGATAGTTCATTATTGTTGCGTTTTATATCATTTCGGTTTTTCTTGCTGTTAAAATCGGCTGTTTCGTACGTTTAGAAAGTTTTTGTTACCAGGTCAGTTCATTTGTCGGTTGTCGTTATTGGCGCTGGTTCCAATGTGCGTCGGTACCACAGTGGTTAGGACTCTCGGCGACCATGCACATGGTCCGAGGTTCGATCCCCTGCCGACGCACACCTGATATCTATGGTCAGCCTGCAAAATTTGGGCTACCGATATCCATGCTGAAAATTCCATACTGTATCAAAAATACAGTGTGGGGGAAAATGTGTTTCACGTTGATGTTCAGGTCATGCAATAATCTACAAGTCGATCGGATGATGACAGCATGGCCGTAGTTGGTATTAGCAAGGCTTTTGAAATACGCATCACAGACAAAGAATTGAGAACCTGGGCTGCAACTGAGAAAGCTTTGAAGTATTTTGAGAAGGCGAATATAGCGTAAATGTGCCTATTATCACACTACAAACACCTGATATATTATGATCTAGTCTAAATTGTGCAAGAACAAACCACATTTAAAGCGTGAATTTGATGCTGTTGAATGTATTTTTAGGAGCTAAAAGAAACCCGATAGCAATCAGAAACCTCTTAAGGGTGAGCATTATCTATGGTTGTAAATGCTTGATGTACTTGAATTAGAATGGTCTGTAGTGAAGTCGATGTTAACAGCCATTCAATTCACAAACCGGATTACATAAATGATCTGCTGGTTATGTGAACTTCTTTTGTTGAAGACTGGCTCGCTGCCCACCAGAGTTCACCGTCACCTATCCTTTCTGACCGTTTGATATTTCGGTCTGTTGGAACAGCTTTCTGTGTTGCACCAAATATCTAAAGCATACAGAAACGCAAACTTGCAATTATTGTTGAAGAACCGAAACTTGTTCCTTAGACTTAGAGAAGCAGATGTCAGTCACGTCTCGTAAACCGTTAATGCCCAGCTCTCGCTACGCTTGGGCCCACGCTGTTCCTTGAAGTTTCTCAGAAACGCTTAGTTATAACGGACGAAAAAACCAAAACACTGATTGGCCGCCTGAGATTTCTTTATTGTTACACCAACATATAAAAATAATAACTGAACTAAGGTCTGTGAACAAATATTACAATAATAAATCATAGTATTACTTCTGACGATGTTTCACTCTTCTTTCTGAACAGGGACCGATGAGACGATGACTGTCGTATTGATGCCTCCGCGAAAATTGGGGAAGTTGATTTCGAGCAAACAACCAAGAATTGATCGTTCAATCTTCAACTACATTGACAACAGACCTCCAAACTGATTTCAGAGCGATCCATATCCGTCTTGCTTTTTAGACCATACCTTTGATATCCTTATCCGTTCCCCCTGTAGTTGAAATGATGCTACCTGGTTAAGTGAAACAAGTAACTTCCTTTTAATTTTTCAGTTAAAGCTGATTTTCGGTTGTTGCAGTTGTTATTTTTTGTTCGTAATGCATATCACTCAGTGACTTCAGCTAGAAATTGTGATGTTTGCTTTTTCAGTATTTCTGATTTTGCGTTCCTTAAATTGAAAAAGTTCTCTCTGTTGTCAGTCCAACATTTAAAGGATATTATTCTCACTTTTTGTAACCATTTTACTGACCATTTAATTTTATGCAGTCTGCGGCCGTTGAGAACCCGTGAAATATAGTAGTATCGTTTCATAAAGGAAGCTGGGTATTTCTTGTTTTATTGGAATTTTGTGACTGAAATGCATAGAGAACTACTGGTTAGTAAGAACACAAGTTATTACTGTATTAATTGTCAAAACGTTCAGCTTCTACATAAAGCAGACTATTTATGTGAAAGATATCACCATCCAGTGACTCCTTGATGCACAACATAGCGATATTTCAACATGCTTCACCTGCAACACAAACCCCTGCAATGAATATGCTGAGAGTATGCCGCAGTCAGGTTACATAACGCGGACAACAACGTCCGATGTTGAAAAATGAGAGTTCCTACCACCCCAGAAAAACTATATCAAAATTTTGTTAAAAATAATTCAAAAAATAATTGCTAGGTGAAATTCCTTCATCTTTCACTAATTAATGACGTTGGAACACCAATGAACTGTTTTTTGCCAATCACTGAATTGACCGCAGAAATTAACAAGTCTCTATAGTTGTATAAAGAGTCAAACATAAATAAGAATCAGATGAACATACCTGTATGATTCTGGAGTCTCAGCGATTTCGATACGTTTTTGATGTGTGTATTTAATACTTTGGTGCATCTATATATACTTTTGATACAGCAAATGGATATAAACATCACAGAAAGGAGAAACTATGCATTAAGAGCAGCAACAAAAATTTGAAAAGAATATGGACACACCTTCAACTAACACTGCTGTAAAACAGTGTGAAAGTATAACCAGATCAAACGACTGTCAGTCAAGTCTCGTTAGCCGTCAATGTCCAGCTCTTCCTCCGCTGGGATTCACGCTATGCATCCAAGACTTTCAGAAACGCTTAGTATTAACCGACGAGAAAACCAAACCACTGTTTTGCCACTCAAGAATCCATAATACTAACGCCCACATATAACAAAAATTCCTCTTATTACAGAGGGTGTTTACCAAGAGTATTCATTTTCCTTATGAACTGCAACCGATGAGACGATGACTGATTGATTGATGACTCCGCAAAAATATGGACAAGTTGGGTTTGAACAAACAACCATGAATTGATCGTTCAATCTTCAACTACATTGACACTCCTCGTCAAAAAAGGGATCCATCCCTTTGTCCCATCACGACCAATACACGTTGACTTGGATTCCATTGCGAGAACCTGGGTCACAGGTACAGAGCTGAAATGGAAAACAAACAGAAAAGCCAACACACCACAAGCATACCCACAGCACAATCTCACACATCGATGACGACCTACACCTTCGAATTAAAGGTATCCCCTTGACATGTTGCAAAACAATCGCCACATACTAGAATATCTCTTGCAGAATGCAACGTGACCATAGCACCAACTCATGATACTCTACTCACATCCTCTTATCTACTCACCACCAATTACCACTGCAATCGCTTGTCACTCATTCTGCCTCAGTTCTAGTAACGGCGACGTATGCAAACCTCAGTCGTTTACACTCTTTCTCCCCAGCGTGTCGGACCGCAGCTAACAATTATCTCCGTGTGCATTTCATTCTCAGCAATAGCCTCTCCAGCGTATACGATCCATCCGCTGTCTTTAGCATCAATCAATTCATTCACGGATGTAGAAGGCTAGAAACAACTTCGGAAGTAATCACGACGAAAATTTTAACAAAATTATGCATAAAAACAAGATAAGAAAACAACTAGTAAACACAATGAACCGAAAAAACACCAATTGATATGACGTAAATACACACGGTGATTATAGCCTCACAGAACATATCTTGAATTAATTCATTTGAAGAATCGCGGGACTTACACCAGTACGCCTGGAACCCTCCTCAGGTTGACGATTGTAAGTTGAATAATGTTCGGACACAAAGAAGATTAACCAACAATTACAGTAATTGGAACATGCTCGACTACTTAACTCAAACATATATATAATCAGAACGTAGAAATTTTGGATTCTCAATTGAAGACCTGCCGTTGAAGAAGTGTACGACATATATCAGTAAGACTACATCCCACACAAGTTGATGATACAAGTGGAAGGCGTCCGGACACAAAGAAAATTACCGACAGATAGATGAGGGATGACACCGATTCACTATATACGACATGAACATATGTACAAAATCACACTCCAAGTACGATGGACGGCGCATCGACGTACTACGCTTGAAGAATTGTAGGACTTACAGCAGTATGCCAACAACCCTTCTCAGGTTGACGCCCTAGGTTGAGAAATCGTCCCTGAGTTCATTTGATGACCTCCTTCTATCATCTATACCCTCTGTCAATGTAGTTGAAGATTGAACGATCAATTCATGGTTGTTTGCTCAAACCCATCTTCGCCATATTTTCGCGGGTGATCAAACTGTCAGTCATCGTCTATTCGGTTGCTGCTCAGAAAGAAACTAGAAAAAACTGTCAGAAGTAAAATCGTGATTTATTGTTGTAATATTTGTTCTTAGTCATTAGTTTATTATGCTGGATACAGGTTGGTGTCAGAATAAAAAACCCTGGACTCGAAAATCTGTTTTCGGCTTTTGCGTCCAATAATACTAATCGTTTCCGAAAGGCTTCGAGAGACAGCGTGAGATCCAGAGTAGCAAAAGCTGGACATTGACGGTCTATGCGACATGGCTGACAGATTCTGACGGTGTTTGGATAGTTTCCGTTCATCTCACCCAGAGCCTGCCAGTCTTAATTGGACAAGCGTTGTCTGGAACTTTTCTGGAATTTCGGTCAAGTTCAATGAGGCCTGGGTCAAAGAAGGGACAGAGCCTCTCAGAAGCGAACAGTAAAGTAGGTCATGTTGACTTGCCTGTTACATGTAACGATGTGTGTGATGCTCAGCATGATGAGTTTGCTGTTCATGTTTCCCAGTCTAGGGATAATAGGCCCACATTTGAATCACGGAATCACCAAAGCTGTTGCACTCACTAGGTTTATATGGATTACTAGACACCATAAAGCTTCCTCGATATCCACTTCTCTGAGACTCTTTCGTCATCAACGATTGCGTTTCTCCCTCAGACTTCTCACTTCTACGGGTGGGATGCAATATACTGGCAAACTTGCTCATTGGTTGATTGACTTTATCGTTTACCAGTTTCGGAATATCATCGAACTTTGGCTCAACTCCTTCATCCTCTATACGAGAGCTTATCTTCCCCCACTTCCTTTGCAGTCGAGTAGGAAGGCGTCTCGCTATTACCTCCAGGATTGAACTTGAGTTCAGATCACTCATGCAATTCATCGAAATCAATGCGTTCTTGTAAGTCAATAGATTATCCAAAAACTCAGAGAGTGACTTGTAGTCATCTTGTAATTGACTACCATTACCCTTAACAGCCTCGAATACGCTCCTTGCAATCATCGAAGATCTTCCAA